CCCCCTCGACTAGCACAAAAGACAAACACCAAAAGAATCCACAGCACAAACATAGAGCCCCCTCCAGACCTCTTCCTCCCACCCAACAGCAACATCCCCCACCCCTCCGAACTCCTGACCAAAATGACACAAAAATACGACCTCATAATCCTCGACTTCGACGGCACAATCTACGACTCCCACGAAGCCATCTACACCTCCATGCAACGCACCTTCCACCACTTCCTCCCGGACCACCCGCTCCCGACCACGCAGCTGACCGCCCTGATCGCCCAGGGCCACAGCCCCGAAGTCACCTTCCGCGCCCTCCTGGACCCCGCCACGGCACGGGAGGTCTTCGACGAAGCCACCTGGATCACGACCTACCGGACCCTTTACGCCGAGCACGGCCACCCGCTCACGAGACCCTACCCGGCCGCGTACGACCTCGTCCGCACCCTCACGCAGACCCACCGCATCCCCGTCGCCATCGTCAGCAACAAGGCCGTGGGCGCCCTCCGCGCCGCGCTGCAGCGCGACGGGTTCCTGGCCTTCATCCCGGAGGCGCTGGTCCTCGGGGACGGGGCGTTCCCCCGCGGGCGGCGGAAGCCCGATCCCGCCGGGTTCACGGAGGGGTTGGTACCGCGGCTGAAGGCGTATTACTCGGCTCACGGTGGTGGTGGTGGTGGGGGAAGTCCGGAGTGGTTGGAGAGGGAGGGCGGGGTGGATATGCGAAGGGTGCTGATGGTGGGCGATACGATCACGGATCTTCGGTTCGCGAGGAATCTCGGGTGTCCCGTGTGTTGGTGTCGGTTTGGGCAGGGCGATGCGGCGGAGTGTGAGGCGGCTGGGCCGGAGGTGGTGATTGATGGGTTGGAGGAGTTTGTGGGCTCGGTGCTGGGGTAGAGTTGTTGGGAGCTGGGAGGGGGGGGTGGCGGGGTGTGTATATCCTTGGATAAAGACGTAGACTTAGATTCGGGGGTATGGGGTGGGTTGTCTGATCTATGTAGAGTAGAGGAGGGGCCGAGTTGATATGGGTATGTATAGATATGGTTGATGTTGAATGATAGAGGACAAAAAGGTGGGATCTCAGTCACAGAGCAGGCCGGAAACATGGAGGATATACCTTCTTGTGATGTAGTCCTGCTTGTTCGCGCTTTCTTGAAATATGCTGGTGGAAGTGTTGTCGTCTGATCCTCTGGTGTGATTCATGATGACCCCGGGATTCGACGGCGAGCCCACGGATGAACTCGCACCATCCCGAACCTTAAAAATGATACACTACCGGCCAAAAAAAAAAAAAAAAAAAAAAAAAAAAAACTACCTGCACGGTCAGTCAACACGTAATCCGTGGCGAGAGCACACCCCGACCCGTGACGCAAGATGAAAGTACATTCCGGCCTTGAGGCGCTGTGGACGGCTGTCGTCGGGTCACAGCTGCAAGCCCCGGTAAAGATATAAGAATAACAGATCCAAAAGGCACAAGAAAATGCATCGAGATGGCCAACAAAACCAATTAGTGCAACAAAGAGTGCGAGCGCAACTGTGTCATTACAGCTTTGGATGGGGGAAGCCACTGGCCATTCGAAGGTGAAAGAGACATAGCATAGAAACAGCGAAGAATAGAAGAGCAGAGG